TCTACATCTTCTTCCTTAAGATTTGGCAATTTATCCACATTTATCCACTAGTTCTGGTTGATTGCATTGTGGACTAGCCAGAGATATCTCAAAGCAGCGCTAGTTGGTTGTCCCCATTTTTGACGAACATCAATGGATGGTTTGAAATGTTAGAAGACATCATGACAGTCATCAAAGATGTTCCGAGAACCGAGTGGCAGTCACGACAGCGCCCCTGTCAGGTGATGCCGATCGCTGTCGAACCAGCCCACCCCTTCGCAACTGCACCTGGGACAGCGGCAAGATAATTGGACAGATCTAATCATTCAACATGGAAGTAGATTCAGCAGTGGGGAATCAATCATTGTTCCATGTCCCTCAAAATCGTTGAACACTAGAAAATCCCAAGACTCGGAACCTCTCAGGTCGATGAAGAAAGCAGAAGGGCATTGACTTGACGTTTTGAATCTTAGGGCAAAACCAAACTGGGTATCTTCATGTATCTTCCATTTCTATCACCCAGGCCACTCACCTGGCATCGGAAGAAGAGAGGTGAGTTTCACCACTTCTCAGAGTGGCTCAGCTGGGTCATCCGTGGACTTTTGGGTCAAAATTCAAGGCCCAAGGGACGCAGATGGATTGGTTGATCTTTGATGATCTTTGGGTACCCCGACTTTGCAAACTTGAGAAGTACTTGAGCATACCCAGTGGTCATGCGTCAAGACTCAACCATTGCCGTGGTTCAGGAATGAGATACAGCCGGTCTAGCCATACACTGGGTGCAAAAAAATCGGGGCTTCCATATTCTTTAGCCAAACCCGTGTACCAAGGTGAGAAGTGGTTAACATCCCCAGATTTCGGTTTTCCGATGGACGGCAAGTGCTGAGGGGACACCTTCCAGTTCATCGCTGGGAAGTCTGAGGGAGCCGGTCGATTGTCCCTTGGACATGTCAGACCCGATGGTGGGTTGGATGGACCTCATCTTGGGATGCCCGTGTGGTTTTCTGACGCTTGACTCATGAAGGTTGATGGTTGATGGATGTTGATGGTTGATAAGTGAAATGAGCAGATTGCGATTGTGTTACCCCTCGCCTCTTTGCAGATTGAAACAACGTGAATTCTTACCACTCTTATAAGACTCTTACCCCTCTTCTCAGGTATTTTAGCCCACAACGTGAAAGATGTCATGGAGGCAACCGCCCAGATCTTTTTGGGCGCATTGACAGCATGAACATCTACCCCAGGTTTGTGAAACCATCACCACATCATTGAAACACCACAAGTGGGAAAAAAAAATGAAAAAGCGATAAAACTCGCGATGATCTCCGGCATGGGATGTTGCAGGAACCATCAGCGCCGCCAAGAGATTCAGATCCACCAGCCCCGGTGACCTGGCTCATCCTGGCTCCATGTTTGATGGATGGATATGGATGGATCATAATCCCCCAGATGTTTGATGAATTGGGATAAGATATGATAAGATGGGTTACAACACGTCATACAAAGAACTCGGAACCGGGACGTAGAAAATGGTGATATGATCGAAGGAAGTTTAGAAGTCAAACTTCCGACAATATGGACAGATGAAAAGCAGAGTAGGGCAGAGGCAGAGAGAAGAGAAAGATTAGAAGAGAGAAGAGTAGAAGAGAAAGAGTCAGAAAAAAGAAGATGCAGATGGGCGAAAAGGTAGGAAAGTCGCGAAACACTGTGTTTTTCCAATGAATTGTGGCTCCGGAGGGTCGAAAAGTAGGCTCGCTAAAGCGGCGGGCGCGGAGCCAGCTGGCCAGATGAGAGATGAAAAATTGCACGCCGTTGTGGCGCGAAGCACATTTCCAAGTCAAAATATACAAAACACCTCAGCTCCGGACCACTTTTGGAAGTTGAGATGTCGAAAAAGTGCACGCGGTTGTGGCGCGAAGCACATTTCGAAGTCAAAACATACAAAGCACCTCAGTGTCGGACCACTTTTGGAAGTTGCGATGTCGAGAAAGTGCACGCCGTTGTGGCGCGAAGCACATTTCGAAGTGAAAATGTTGAAAACACCAGGGGCTTGGACCACTTTTGGATGCTCAGATGTCGTTCCGCGTGGCAGGTGCAAGGGATTGTCCATCTTGTCGAAAGTGAGCAAAACGTGAGGGTTTTGTAGCATTTTCAACTGCAACCACCACCACACCACACTACACTCCAACACACTACACTACAACTACAACTACACCTTCACTACATTACACTACACTACACTCCGCTACACTCCACTACACTACATTCAATTACTCTCAATTACACTACACTACACTACGCTGCACTTTGCTACACTGCACTACACTACACTACACTACATCCCACTACACTACATTACAATACATTACGCTCCACTACACTCCACTACACTACATTACACTACGCTACACTAAATTCCACTACACTACACTACACTCCACTACACTACATTACACTACACTACGCTACACTACATTCCACTACACTACACGACACGACACTACACACTACACTACACTACACTACAACTACACTACACTCAATTACACTACACTACGCTACGCTACACTACACTACACTACACTACATTCCACTACACTACACTACACTACACTACACTAACTACAACTACAACTACAACTACAACTACAACTACAACAACTATACTACATTTACACTACGCTACACTACACTAATTACACTACACTACACTACACTACACTGCACTGCACTACACTACACTACACTACACTGCAACTGCAACTGCAACTGCAACTGCAACTGCAACTGCAACTGCAACTGCAACTGCAACTGCAACTGCAACTGCAACTACACTACATTACATTACACTACACTAATGACATTACACTACACTACACTACATCACACTACGTCACACGAACTACAACTACAACTATATAAGACTAGACTAGACTAGACTAGACTAGACTACACTACACTACACTAATTTCACCACACTGCACTGCACGACACAGAGAGAGATAGATGGATGCATAGATAGATAGGTGGGTAGGTAGGTAGATGGTCAGAGAAAGAGACAGAAAGAGAGAGAAAGAGAAGAGACCTCAACCACCTTTCGGTCCATCAGTGGCTTCGCTCTGCCATCCGTGATTCACGACAACCAACCTCTCCTATAGGTTTCCTATTTTTGAAACTTCCGCCGCCGCCTTGTGCGGTACTACTGGCGTGGAAACGTGGAAACGTGGAAACGTGGAAAGGTGGAAAGGTGGAAAGGTGGAAAGGTGGAAAGGTGGAAAGGTGGAAAGGTGGAAAGGTGGAAAGGTGGAAAGGTGGAAAAGTGGAAAAGTGGAAAAGTGGAAAAGTGGAAAAGTGGAAGTGGAAAAGTGAAAAAGTGGAAAAGTGGAAAAGTGGAAAAGTGGAAAAGTGGAAAAGTGGAAAGGTGGAAAAGTGGAAAGGTGGAAAAGTGGAAAAGTGGAAAAGTGGAAACGTGGAAACGTGGAAACGTGGAAACGTGGAAACGCGGAAACGTGAAAAATTGGAAAGGTGGAAAGGTGGAAAGGTGGAAAAGTGAAAAAGTGGAAAGGTGGAAAGGTGGAAAAGTGGAAAGGTGGAAAAGTGGAAAAGTGGAAAAGTGGAAAAGTGGAAAAGTGGAAAAGTGGAAAAGTGGAAAAGTGGAAAATTGGAAAAGTGGAAAAGTGGAAAAGTGGAAAAGTGGAAAGGTGGAAAGGTGGAAAAGTGGAAAAGTGGAAAAGTGGAAACGTGGAAAAGTGGAAACGTGGAAACGTGGAAACGTGGAAACGCGGAAACGTGAAAAATTGGAAAGGTAAAAAGGTGGAAAGGTGGAAAAGTGAAAAAGTGGAAAAGTGGAAAAGTGGAAAGGTGGAAAGGTGGAAAGGTGGAAAGTGGAAAGTGGAAAAGTGGAAAAGTGGAAAAGTGGAAAAGTGGAAAAGTGGAAAAGTGGAAAAGTGGAAAAGTGGAAAAGTGGAAAGGTGGAAAAGTGGAAAAGTGGAAAAGTGGAAGTGGAAAAGTGGAAAAGTGGAAAGGTGGAAAAGTGGAAAGGTGGAAAGGTGGAAAGGTGGCAAAGTGGAAAAGTGGAAAAGTGGAAAAGTGGAAAAGTGGAAAAGTGGAAAAAGGTGGAAAAGTGGAAAAGTGGAAAAGTGGAAAGTGGAAAGGTGGAAAGGTGGAAAAGTGGAAAGTGGAAAAGTGGAAAAGTGGAAAAGTGGAAAAGTGGAAAAGTGGAAAAGTGGAAAAGTGGAAAGGTGGAAAAGTGGAAAAGTGGAAAAGTGGAAAAGTGGAAAAGTGGAAAAGTGGAAAGGTGGAAAAGTGGAAAAGTGGAAAAGTGGAAAAGTGGAAAAGTGGAAAAGTGGAAAAGTGGAAAAGTGGAAAAGTGGAAAGGTGGAAAAGTGGAAAAGTGGAAAGGTGGAAGGGATTCGTCGGATTTCGATCCCTTTCAGCTGCATTTGGCCAAGGCATCACTGACCGCAGCCCTGGGCCCCAAACCTACAGGCATATCACATGGGGCTGGGTAGCATCCCAAGAGGTTGCGCTGTTCAACGACCAACAAAACGGCTGATGGTGACTTCCCCAAGATGATTTCTGATATAAAATCCCAAGAACCTTGGGGTAGCAGTCATCAATCAAAGCATGATGAATTTGCCCGACACCTCTCAATCATCCACCAATCCACCACTTTAGTTTGATCTTCGCTTTGAGATGCTGAGATGTCGTCCCTTCAACTGATGGCCCATTAACTGATTCTTGGGTTGCTGACATCTCATCATCCATCAACTGCTTAAGGGGCAATTGGCATTGTGTTTGCTGTGAAAAACATTGTTTCTTGATGTTTCCTGTAGATTTCCCCTTCAAATCGTTCATGGCTTCCATATGCCTACATTCCTACCTCTCATGAATGTTACAAAGTAATCAATGTTCTCTTTAACTCCAATTCAATCAATACATAGTTTCCTCATCAAAAAAGATCCATGGATTTCATGCAGTTTCCCGGATCGGCGGATCTTTTGGCTCAGCTTCGAGGGAGAATGGCTCCACTTCCGGGGCTCCGGCCACGGCGCGTGCGGCGCGTGCACCTGGCGCTGCCCGCCGTTGCGCTGGGCGTCGTTGCGCTGGGCGTCGTTGCGGGGCCCACCTTCCTGGCACCGAAGAATGGCGGTCACGGCACTCACGGCACTCACGGCACTCACGGCACTCACGGGGTGCCTTGTCGAAGGGAAGCAGAAAATGCCAATGCCACAGCATGCCACAGCTCTTCGATGTTTCTAATGATTCTAATGTTTCTGTTAAAACAAACGAAAACTGAAGATGATCCAAGGCATGGCTCGCACCGTGGCTGGCCATGACCTCCCCGGTCTTTGCCGAGTCCGACGCGGCTTCGGTGGGTTCCGTGGGTTCCGTGGGTTCCGTGGGCTCGACGCAGTCCATCGAGGACATGCTGATGGACCTGCTGAACAAAGCCACCGGTGGTGCCGTGGACGTCCCGACGGATGGCTCTACGCCTTCCCTTCTTTTCCTGGGCCTAGGAGATTTGGCTCGAAAGTTTCCGAAAGAGTTGAGGAGATGATGTTTAATTATGTTTAATTTCTAGATTTTGCAGGAATGTCTTTTTGGGTTTGGAGGATCTGAGTTTGCTCTTGGCTTTGGAAAACCATAGGTGTTTCTTAATGTTTATTTCATCATATACAGATTATACAGTCTTTGGGGAGGTTTATGCATCCACATCCAGGGAGCTTTTCTTAGCCAAGATTCCAAGATCAACTCCTCAGGAGCTTTCCTGCTTTACGGCGTCTTCGCAGTCCTGAAATTCGTCCTGGCCGCGGTGGGCGGCTTGTTTGTGGTGCGCGAAATCGATCAGCAGTTCGGCAAGGAAGGCCGCAAGACCTCCAAACTGGTGGAGAAGGTGAAGAAAAACATCGCTGGTGCTGATTTTCATGTTTTTTTCTGCACATTTTTGAATTTCTGATCGTTTGTGTGTTGGTTTGCATAACATCTGCTTTCCCCAAACCATTGAAAAAACGTGTCCATCTCCACCAGTTGGATCTCTGTAGGCCTTGAAGCGCTTCGCCGGTGAACCCGCCGACCTCTTGGAGGAGCGACGGCTGAAGGTCGTGCGCCTCAACGACGAAGTCACGGCCTTCCAGGCAACGGAGACATCAAGCTTTTAGAATCACACTAAACTAGTGATACTAGTGATACTAGTGATACTAGTGATACTAGTGATACTAGTGATGTAAAAATTGTATATTGTTTTATCGTATCAACATGTATCAACATCCTCATATAAAATCTTTAGTTAAGACTTAAGACCTTCCAATCAAGTTACAATAACTTGTAATGTAATATTATCTTCAATCCAATCAGTTTTTGCTAATCATGATGCAATGGCATGCAATGGCATGCAATGGCATGCAATGGCATGCAATGGCATCATAACCACGAAAGATCACAATTTTCGACGAAATGTCGAGTTGCCGGCCACGCCGAGCGGTTCCACAGGCCTCGCTGGCGGAGCAGGTCAGTGGCCCCTCAGCGGGTGCTGCGCTGCGTGACAGCGCGCGTCGGAAGCGCTTCGTGGTGCTCTGGCAGCGGATCTTGGACGACGTGGCCATGACCGACGTGGAGAGGTGCCGAAAATGGCTGGTGAGGCATCCACTGAATGGGGAAAGTATAGTTACTATGGAGAAAGATGAGGGTAGGAACCATTTTGGTGACAACTAAGCAGCAAACCTTGTGATTTACTCAGCTTTTTCTTTTCCCCTGTGGAAAGGCAGAAAGTGGAGGATGCGGTGCAGAAGTATTTGAAGGAGGATTCTGGATGGTTGTGGTAGTGGCAGTGGTGTTGGCTGGTAATGTATGGTGGGAGAAGGCTTTATTGGTGCAGGGTGGATGTTGGGAAGAGGGGGAAAGGTCAATATGGTGGATGTGGTGATGGATGGATGGAGTTGCTGACTTTTTGGGATTTGAACACAATATGTCAATATGCATACTTTTTTAAATCTTTTCTTTTGGGTGTATTCTGCCAATTCGAACGGGCGAAGTTGAGGTTGCAGCAGCCGCAGATGATCGCTTCAAAACATGATTTTGTTGAATCCCCTGGCACCGTCTTCCCAGCACATCCCAGCACCACAGGAGCGCGAGCGGCAGGAGGATTTTCGCACTGCCCGATCTGAGTGGCTCAGTTCGTTGTTCGAGAACTCGTTTTTCGGGACGATGTCCAACCGCTACCGAGTCACGGGGTCGTTGGACAAGAAGATCCGTCTGCAGGAGGAGTTGATTAGCAACATTCGCAAAGCGCTGCCGGATCAGAAGAAGTTTTCCAACGTCAAAAAAGTTCTGGGAGAAGTGGATCTCTCCTGGTTGACCGATAAAGATCAAGATGATCATCAGAAAATTGAGGCGCCAAAGACAGTTTACGTGTTGAGCTTCGATGGAGATCCCACGGCTGCGGGCGTTAGTTTACTGCAGCAGGCTGGCTGGCTGGTGGGACGGGGAAAGAACCTTGTGACCAGAAGAAATAACGAAATAGACTAACTAAGACCAACTAAGACTAACTAAAACTAGTTGTGTTAGGGAATTGAATGATCTGCATCTGGATTTGCAACTGTTCATTCAGTAGATCCCAATTTTTTCCAGCAATTGTTCAACACATGTTTCAACGCATGTTTCCAAACCATTTCAAAACACATTTTCAAACCATTTTTCTCCGTTCTCCACCGGTGATTCCGAAACGTTGGGACATGTTGGGACTCAGGAAGTGACCGCCATCCTGGAGTCCAACGTCAAGCCTGAAGAGGTCATCCTGAAGCTGAAGAGCCCAGGAGGCTCCGCCGACCTGAAATCTTGGGATCATATAGAATTGCTCGTCAAAAGTATAGAATATATATAATATTATACATATGTTAATCTAGTTTAGACATGTATAGACATGCACAGAAATGTATAGAAAAGATTTAGATTTACTAATTATGGTTCAAAAGACCTGGGGTTGTCCCCAAAGAATGGAGGGTTTATTGGCCTTGGCGATTTCGATGGGAAAGAAAGGGGGAGAAACTTTACAATTTCAATGGGCTGCTTATTTTGACATGTTGATTGTTTCTTTTGGAGCTGACATGGGATCTAAAATCGCTTTGTTTCTTTACTTGAAACCTGCAGTCAGAACAAATTAAAACCAACTGGCCGGACCCTTTGATACCGCTAATATTTGGCTGGTGCCAATCATCTCAGACTTGTCTGGCAATTCAGCAAAATCACCAACTGCAGTTCTTGTTAATTCTGTGAAGTAAGCCTGTGAACCATTGGGCGCACTTTAAGGAACATGTATCCAAGCTTCAATTCAGCAGTGCTGGCCATGTGAAACATGTTGGATGTTGCAGGACATTCTAAGGGCCATGTAAAACTCCAGTTCGAACCATGTCTTTCTCGTCTTTCTCGTCTTTCTCCATGTCAAGACATGGCCATTTCTTGGCATCTCACCGTTCTTTCCCCGTTCCTTACACCGTTCTCACCGTTCCTTACCGTTCCTTCCCCAGGCACGGTGACGGGCTACGGCCTGGCGGCGGCTCAGCTGCTGCGCTTCCGGCAGCAGGGCGTCCGGCTGGTGGTTTGCGTGGACGAGTTGGCGGCCTCGGGGGGGTACATGATGGCCTGCTGTGCCCACAAAATCCTGATCTCCCCATTTGCGGCCGTGGGATCCATTGGTGTGTCCCATGTCAACTTTTGAGAGTTTGTCGGATTTTGTCGGATTTTGGGAAGTAGTTGGCTACAGGTTGGCTACAGGTTGGCTATAGAATGCTATAGAATGCAACATAAAATTGTAGTTGGACGTGTTTGCATGTGTTTGCTGAGTTTTTGAGCTTGGAGAAATCGGAGATGTGCTCTGGGTCAATCTGTTTCCAAGTCGCCGTGAATTCATGGACTTTTCGGAGCTTTGCCCGTCCTTGCGTCCTTGCCCTAGGATCAGTGGCGTCCCCAACGCCGTGGAGCGCCTGGACCGGGAGGGGCTGAAGGTGATCCAGACCACGGCGGGCAAATGGAAACGAACCATCGATCCTTTCCAGGCGCCAACCCCTGAAGCCTTAGCCAAAGCCGAGGAGGACCCCCGTCGCTGGTGGCAGATGGTTGATGGATAGTTGATGGATAGTTGATGTTGAATGATGTTGATGGATGATTCCAGGATGTTCACACTGATGAAACATGATGAAACGATGCAGGGAAGGACCAAGTGATGGGACCAAGTGATGAATCTTCTCCAATCCATTGATCACATGTCACATTTCCACATTGGGGATATGGGTCCAAATTGTCAACCTGAAGGATGGTCAAGGATGGTCAAGTTTAGTCGATTTAATCATATTTAATCATATTTAATCATATTTAATCATATTTAATCATATTTAATCCTAGAATATCTATGAATATCTAAAATGGACGAAATTTGGGTCGCCGAGTCGCCATTTGTGCCACCTGCAGGACGTGAACCGGATCTACCGGCAGTTCTCCGGCTTCGTGAAGCAAAACCGTCCCAATATCGACATCGAGGCAGCCATGGATGCCATGGCAGGGTTTGATGGGTTTTGTGTATGCCACAGCATGATAGATCCAATGAAATCCAGGGGCTCGAAATCATGCTGTGGCACAAATGACACGGGAATTATGGAATTTTTGCATGCGCTGAAGATGACTTTCTCTGTTTCATCGATTCGCTGGTGCAATCAATGAACCTCAAGGCCAAATGTAACGATAATACATGAAGTCCAGACCAAATCTATGACACCGAACCCCTGACCTGAAAAGTATATAAACATGTATAACTATTGCTATATAACATCATATAACATCATATAACTTATCATATAACTTATCATATAACTTATCATATAACTTATCATATAACTTATCATGTAACTATATAACTAGTGATAAAATGATTTATTGCTGTGTCGACGAATGGATGGGATTCATCAGTTTGCCATGAATGGGGGTATCTGCAGTATCCACCTCTGTGCAGGATGTGGCCACCGGTGAGGTGTGGTTTGGTGCCGATGCGTTGGAGAAGGGCTTGGTGGATGAGCTTCAAACAAGTTCCGAGTACATCATGCAGCAGATCCGAAATGGTCATGAAGTGCTGGAAGTTTCCTACAAACAAACAGCTGGAGGTTTGGGTGGTTTGGGCCTGGGTGCTATGGCAAACCAGTTGGGTGAAGCTCTAAAAGCCAGAGACTCTATGGCCAACTTCCCCAGTTGGCCCAGTTGGGGCGGCCAGCCCCTGGAGACTGCCACCACCCTGTCGGCGTTGTCGGCCCTACAGAACCTGAGTGAAGCGCAGAGTGAAGCATGGCCCAAGGGTCTGCCAGAGCCCAAGATGGAGTCTGCCAGGGCTAAGTGGGATGTGGAAGCGCGCTTTGACCGAAATCTGCCGGAAATCTGAGGCAACCAGAGCCAGTAGACTCTACCGGTTGAACAGAAAGGGCCACAAAGAGGTTTCATGGCCATCGACGGAGTTGACGGAGTTGCTGGCATCCATGGTGGATCTCCCATCTTGCCATTTGCGAATCCCTTGCCATGTCCAGATTTTCAGCTTGAAAAATCTCCCAGTTTTCGGCCCGGGCCCTTCGGTTTGGGCCTCGGAAAACCCTGGCAGCGCGATTGCAACAATGTGAACGCCTGGCTGCAAGGGGGAAAGGTTTATCATCCCCAAAGCGTAGATTCTGTTGGGGAGATCCACTCAGGGGAGCTCTTTGCACATCAGTCATTTCATGACATTCTTGTGCAAAAACTACCCAGTATCTGTGGTTAAAAAAGGCCTACCTCATGATGATCCCATTTGACTGAGACTTTTTGGAAGTGGCCAGGCCAAGCATTGCCTTCTCCTCCTCTTTTCGGAGCTGAACGCCCGATTGGCTGAGGGTTGTCGAATGATGAAGATCTCCTGAAAATCTGGAGGATTCAAGTCTAAACACAGCAAGTTATGGGTGTTTCAGAGGACATTTCAGAAAGGTCTCTACCGAAAAGCTGTGACAGTTTGCTTCATTTCATCCTGAAAAGCAGGAAAATCGCCCCGTATCTCGTTGCTGGCAGAGTGGTTTGAACCACTTGAGCCGCACTGTTTCAGCTGATGAATGCAATCTGGCCGTTTGACGAGCGGCGCAAGAGATTCGCTGCTGCACGCGTGATGTGCCAACATCAGGGGTTGCCACATTGGCCACATTGATTCCCGCCTCAAAATAAAGATGTGGTTTTGATCCAGCATCCACATACATCTAAATGATCTAAATGGTCCAAAAATGAATGTCATACCGAGTCAATACCATGATATCTAAAATATCAGGTCAAATTGATGAAAGTGACACAAAGTGCGTGCGCTTCCATGTTTTGAGATGGTTTGGGTCCTGCACTGCCTGCACCCTGCTGTTTATGGCTCCCAGCGGGGATCTGCGGAGGCACAGTCCCAGGACAGACGGGGTATGGGAACCTGGGGCACTAATGGGACACACAAATTGAGTCATTGCATTTTCGTGCCAAGACCCTCCGATGGTCAGGGGCTGCATTTTTTTGACAGAAGAAAAGAGAAATCCAAAGCTTTTGGCACTTCAAGAAGTTTTTTTCGTTTGTGGCGGTTTACGATTCTAATGCGCGTACTCAAGATATTGAAGAGTATGTATGAACGTTTATTTTTGTTTGATCGCATCTTGATCCAGCACAGGATGAACGAAACACAAACTAGAACAGCTGATCGAATCGCTACACTGCTGCACGAATCGAATGCCCAAATTTGACCGTGAAATTCCAGAGGAACGACTCAGATTCCGAAAGCGACGCACGACAGCAACAATCTTTGAAGAACTTGAAACAAATCTAAAGCAGCAACATCTACAGTTTCTCCTCATTTTGTCTCAACAAGAACAACCTGTCCCATTTTTGCCGACTATCAACATTACCATCTGGGTTTGTTGGTTATAAATCCCATCAATATCCCTTTAATCTTTAATTCTATCCCCATATCAAGATATATCAAGTAGGTATCCCATGAAGCGGGATTCCTCATGGTTGATTTCCCCATGATGTTAAACAGACCCGTCAGTTTCCACCGTCCCAGGACGTGGCGATGGGTGGCAAGGCGAAACCCACCAAGCACACAGCCAAAGAGTTGGCGCAGAAGGAGAGGGCTGAGAGGGTTAGGATGTCAGCCTTTGAGGCTCAAATGGATGAGTGAACCTGATTTCATATCATGGGTCGTATGAGTTGATTTCCCGAATGGTTTGATACCTGGGCATGGCCGGATTTCTTTGTTATTCCTAGTTTTGTAGCTGTACCCATTTTGCTGAGAATTGCATGATGAAAATTTGGAATCCGATGGATGCTCGTCCAACCTTGAGGGGCATTCATGAGCTGGTCCACAGCAGTCTCAACATGTTTGAACAGAAAAACAACCCAGCAGGAACCACGCAGTTGAGAGTTGAAGCTGGTCCGAAGAAGTCAATGGGATCCATGATGGATCTCTGGATCTCTATTCCCAGGGTTCCCAGGGTATTCTCTCGTTGATTCTTCCAGGAGAAGGATGCCACCGTGAATCGTGGAGGCGGTTCGCAAGGGCAGAAGGTGCGCAGCTCATCGCAGCGCGGCAGCTCCGTGGGAACAGTGGTGGAGAATGGTGGAGAGATGTAATTTTGTAAAAAATTGTTAATTTTGATATATTTTGATGTATTTTGATGTATTTTGATTATTTTGATTATCTGATACGAATGACATTCAGAAACGTAGCACATGAAAACCTGGGAGTGATGTATGGCTGATGTATGATTAGCAGCATCAACGGATGATCCAAACTGTACGCAGAAATATCATGAAACATATCATCCAGTATAATGCAGTATGTCTCTTTGAGGTGATGTGTATCATTTACACAGGATATGATTTGACATGGATTCCATGGATGCTTGCTATTGCTTATTATTGCTTGTTGCTTTCAGTTGATGCAGGACCGAGCGGGTGGTTCTGTCGGGCATTCCAAGTACAAGTGCCATATCTGCATGCAGGCGGCTCCGGACCCGCCACTTGGCGCCATTTTGGGACCGTGAGTTGGTCGAGATCAACACGGTGGCCTTTGAGAGGAAGATAAACCGATACAACGGGCTTAACTGGTTGAACCGGTTTAACCGGTTGAACCGGTTTAACGGGTTTAACGGGTTTGTGTTTTCCTATGTTTTCCTTCTTTTCTGTGTGGTAGGATATATCCAATAGATTCCAACAGAATCTATGGGAGACCCAAACACAGGAAGCATTGAATTCTTTCTGGCCTGTGCCCAGGGGTGACTCGTTCAGCACCGTGACACCGTTACGGAAGTAAGGAAGTCGATGCAGATGCATTTCGAATCGAAGCATCCCAAGGAGGACTGATTCCGACAGCCCCCTGATCAGTGATCACTGAGATCACTGAGATCACTGAGATCCCTGAGATCACTGATCAGTGATGGGAATTGATGGGAATTGTAAAGCTGCGAGACATTCTGGGCATTCCAAAGAGTCCTGGTGAATCCTGGGGCCCCTTGAAGGATCCCCCAAAAAACACTAGGCCCCCAAGTCGCAGAGTTGGGGTTAGTAACTCCTAAGTGGCCCTATAGGAGTCTCAAGAACTTCCAACATGTTTAATAATTTAAGATATGTTTAAGATATGTTTAAGATATTCCCTCTTCATTGGGCATTTTCGATTTTTTTCGAATTTTCTGCAGGAGTTTAGCATCGAGAAATGCACCGACCTGCATGCCACCGCGGGCGGCGTGACAACTCAGGGTGTTGCCGTCAGAGGTGGGACCAGCTGTGCTGGGCACGACGAGCTGTGTGTCGTTTAAAATGTGTATCGATCGTATATCAGCAGATCATGTGTTACTGCACTTACTGCACTTCCTATATGAGACCGCCGAATTGCAGGTGGCATCAAGAAGCATCACAACTGAGTGGCTTCGGACGCTTCACAAATTTCACAAGTAAAAGAAAGCGCCATTTTCCAAGTGGTTCTGAATCATTCTGAATCATTCTGAATCATTCTGAATCCGTGTGCTGAAATCTTTGAAAAGTGCTGGTTGTTTTTATGGCCGTGGGCATGATTCGACATATGGAACCAAGCGATGGCATCGTCAGTTTCACAGCCCACGTAAGCCCTGTGCAAAAGGCCCCGTGTACCCGTCGTGGGGACATCAGATACATCTCCGCTTTTTTGGTGAAGAATTTGCTCATGCTTAGATGCTTTTTTTATTTCAACTGCTCGGATGACCTCATTTTGAAGACCTGATTTTCTTGTGACTTGTCAGTGACTTGTGCACAGGCTCCCGTGTTACCCAAGATTTCCGGTTGTACAGTGAAGCTTGCCATCTTATGCCAAACGCACAAGACAGGCAGACAGAGCGTTTTGCTAGGTAGGACAGGAACGAGAAAAGGTCACACGAAGATGCGATAAGATGCGCGATGCGGACGATGCGGACGATGCACTGAGTGCAGCATGCACTTTCCATTGAGCACTGCTTGGTTTGACTCATGAGATGCTGGCCGGAAGCTGTTTTGTTTCACACGTGCCAAAATGCTTATCGCATCATTTTAACAGTCCCACGAAATCATAGTTTCACATCTAAAATAACGTGATTGTTCCAGAGTTGCACAACATGCACAACAGCCAAATAAAACCTTTCACATCTTTCACCACTCCACAGAAAAGTCCCAGCGGCAAAGGGTTGACTCCCTGCCTTTATGGCGGCACTATGGGAAGCTTAGATGCTTGCGACCAGGAGTGGCGGTCCCCATGTCCGGTGATTCCAAGAACAAAAGTCCACTCATTTCTGGACACCTACCAAGAGAGTCACATCTCCAACATAGACAATTTAACCGATTTCAGAAGAATGGATGCGGGTGAAACAATCCCAAAATGGATGCCCGAAACAATCCCAAAATGGATGCCCAAATATGACTTCACTTATGCACCTGGTAGTAGCACATGGCTCACCAGGATAGGGTCCCGTAGTTGGTTTCACAAACATCCGAAGTTTGACTGGAATTCCTAAATGCATGAGCTTACCTAAAGGGTTTAAGCCGGGAATCCAGTTTGCAGGTCACTTGACAACTCAATTTGTTGTCTTACTTGTCGCTTTGGCTCAAGAAACAGGACTGCTGCCCGAAGCTCGTTTCTCTTGGTTATCAGCCGTAAGGCTTTCTTCGCGGCAGCCATAGCATCTGCTTTTTCTTCGGGTGCTCGGGACGCAGCAACATCTGAACCTGCCGATCCCGAGCACCCGGAGTACGAGGAATTGCACTCTTTACTGTGGTTTCCAAGGGGAGGTAAAAGGGGCAACGCGCAAAAGATTGCGTTCATCCGAGAAGGTGTACGACTCGGATATCTGTCCCCTACCCATCCACACTTGTCGACAAGTTCATTTTCAGCATTGGAAACGTTCAACTTTTTGGCACGATCAAGGGTGCAAGTCGACGCAACAGTGCAGGCGCAATTGGCTGAAGCAGATCGGGTAGCCACAGCAGCGAGGGGAGAGGACATAGTGGTATTATTACCGGAATCCGTCAGTACATACATTTCAACAGACGGCGGTGATTTTTTACTTACTAGGCCTCAAGGCCGAATTGCCCTATCTCACGTTCAGGTATCCGAAGCCAAGTTTTTGTTTGTGGATCATCATCAGGTCCTAGACAGACATTGGGAAGAGTGTGCATTGACTACAGAAAGAATCCCTCCGCAGAACCTTGAGGTGCTTCGTCACTTGAAAGAGGATTCAGCCGAGCAGAGGTGGATTTTTGTTCTGAGTTACGTACATTCAGACGAAAGATTGGAATCAGTCGTTCAACAGTGGAACCGTGCTGAAGCCCAGGATTTAATTTCAGGGATAATCTTTACACGTGAGCCACTTGTCAAGGTTGCAGTGATCCAGACGTTTCTTGATTCGCTCGGAGACCGTCGAGGAGATCGCGAAACAGCAATTCTTGTGGACGATAAGGTAGAGATCATTGAGCATTTGCGGCAAACATTTGATCCAGAAGAGGTTAAGGGAGTCCATATCAAGTTGAAGAGGAAGAGGCAATCTGAGGGCTGCGACGAGTACGTGCAGGCCAAATTTTTTGCTGATCACTCTGTTCAGGCTTGTTTGGGAGAATTCCTACGCCCCTGATCAATTGCCAAGCATTGAAGCTCGATCATTTGCCCAGGCGTCAGAAACATGGAGCATTTGGCAGATGAAGGGTCACCAGGGCGTGTACCATTGGCCCAAGCTGTTTCTACCCCAATCCAAGACTCGAGTATGTCAACAGAAACATCGTCATCGGGTCTATCCATCCCTAAGGGACAACCAACAGTCATGCACAGCTATGAGTATCACCAAGCAGTCCATAATATCGATGCACGTAATGTCACTGTCCAAGACAATCAGACTTTGCAATTCACAAATGCCAGGGTAGTCAATTTGTTGGATGCTAGCTCATTGGTTGTAGCTCAGGCTCACCAAATGGTTGCTGATGCTAGGGATCAGGCCCTTCAGTATGTGTCCCAATTTGAAGTAAACGCCATGAATCAGGCGCTTCAGTTTGAAGCTAATGCCAGAAATGAGGCCCTTCAATTTGAAGCCAAAGCCAAGAGTCAGGCCCTTCAATTTGCTAAGACCGCTGAAGCTAATGCCAATTCCCAAGCTATGCAATATGCCTGTGTTGCGAAAGCCCAAGCTCAGTCACAAATAAATGCCTTAGAAAATCAATTCCAGTCGCAGGTCCAAGCCATAGAAGCTGAAGCCAGTGATAGGATTAGGCAGTCCCTTGATGAAGCAACCGTGCGGGTAACCCAATCCCAGGAAGAATCCTCCAGGGTGGTCCAAAATGCCCAGCGGGAAGTTGTGAATAGTCAGGGACAGATTGAGCACCTTAAGAAGTTGCTAGCTGAAAGATCCCAACAAATTGTTCATGTTGCCGGTGCACTTCAAGAAAAACATGAAGCATTGGTAATTACCCAAAATAAAATGGTAGAGATGCAGAGTCAAATGGACGTTATGATGAACCAAATAAAGGATCAAAATAACATCATTCGGGCATTACAAGTCCAGAAAACGGACCCAGCGAAGTTCCAGGCCCTTCAGGTTGAAGCTAATGCCAAAAATGAGGCCCTTCAATTCGAAGTTAATGCCAAAAATGAGGCCCTCCAATTTGAAGCCCAAGCCAAAAGGAACCCAATCATGGATCTGAGATGCCCACCAAAATTGGGTGAATCAAGTTCGTCGTCATCAGTGCCTAAAAGTTCAGTTCAGCCTATGCCATGTACGTCTATTCCTGAGTCATTTGCCGTGAGTCCCATAGTAAGGAGCATAGCCACACCGAGATCTAGCCATCCTGGTACGGAATTTCCAGTTGGTCCCACCGGTCAATCGCAATGTGCTGTGCCCCGCGCTTCAGGATTCTTTGGTGAAGAGTTGCGCCCGGCACCTTCCCCAGGGCAGTGTTCAGGAGAGTTGCACTTGGCACCTCCTATGTTGCCTCCAGAAATTCTTAGGAACTGGCAGGTAGGGAATCAAATTCAAGGTGATCAGAACATGGCATTGAGCATCCAAGTCCAACAGTTGGCAAATCAAGTGCAAACAATAGCAAATGAAATTAACTCTCAAAAGTCAAATCGACATGGACGCAGACCGCCTTCAAATGAGTCGGATCAGCGGCCAAGGGTTCCTCAGTCGCCACCAGGAAGCGGGCCATCATCGTCTTCGTCCAGCTCACGCTCCAAGAAGGGCGGAAGAGGCAAGCCTGGAGGGAGCGGGCCACCGTCAGGTCCAGAATCCCCTTTAGGCGATGGTGTTTCCAGCACTGGTTCAAGCGGAGAAAGGGATCCATATAGAATCGAAAAGAAAACCATGAGAGTCAAATACTACGATCAAATGAAGCTACCGCCCTTGCCGGCCGATGCTGCTAGGTGTAGGAGCTTTAGAAACACAGTGTTTAGCATCATTTGTAAATATGCAAAGAATGATGAAAGTCAAGTTTTCAAATGGATTAGCCTATGCAACACCTCGGAAAAGGGGGATGAGTTCAATTCATCTGGTGACTACCCAATCTTGGATAGAATTCTGGGGTCCAAAATGCTTGAACTAGCAAAATCAACAAAGTTCGCTATGGAATTCCAGACTTTTCAGGAGAGGTTTCAAGCTGTAAATAAGCAGCCAAAAGGTCAAATGTTGCTATGGCATGTTTTCCAAAAAATTCGACTTGATCGTGACAGAGGAACTGCGCTGTCACAGCATCACCTCTTGTCTCTCAAAATGGGAGGCAATGATGTCAAAGCACTGGAAGAATTCAAACAGCATTACGACTACTGTTACGGAGCCTTGGAGGCCACCGAATTGCCACCAGAGAACTCCTTGAAATCGTTGCTATTTGAAAATCTCAAAAATCATCCAAAAATGGCTTTGGCTATTGATAAGTATCGTGAAGCTCGTCAAGGGAGCAGCAAACGTACGAGCACATGGCTCTACGGCAAGATGATTGAAGCAATTGAGATCTCTCAAATGGATGTCAACACAACTTCAGTCGACAAAGCCTTGACTGTAGGAGGCCAGGAAAGCAAAATTTCAGGTGCTCAAGCTGATCCCAAGACCAAAACAAAAGAAAAGCCCGAGAAAACATCAAAGCCAAAGAAAGAAACAAAAGAAAAGCCAGAAGCAAAATCTGATGGCAAAACAAAAACTCAAAACAAAAAGAAGGAAGAAGCAAGTGTTGATGCCGCAGCTGCAACAAAAGGCAAAGGCAAAGGAAAGGATGGCAAAGGTGCAAAGGATAAAGGGGACAGGCCAGAACTCACCAAAGAGCAGAAAGCCAAAATGCCATGTAGGTATTTCGCGTTTGACAGTTGCTCGAAAGGCGCAAATTGCGAGTACTTGCATGACAAGTCCAACCTGTATAAGGGGAACAAACCTCGAGTAAAGTCCAGCACCCCCACCTCAAGCCAGAATGCCGGAGTCGCATCAGTTGCCGCAGCGACAGCCACAGCCTTCTCAGCGATTCCCACGGCAAACGCC